CCTGGCCAGCGGTTTGGCCTCATCCTGCACCCCCCCACGGCTGCAAAACCCCAGCCGCCGGTGCGGCGTGTGGTGCTGAGCCTGTTCAGCTCACCGATCCGGCCCTTGGCTTTGGTCCCAAGCTGGGACAGCTCGGGAAAATGCCAGGAGCATCATATTGAGGCGGAGAACGACAGGCTGTGCGAGGGTTGGGGAAACTGAGGCAGGGCAAGGGCCGGGGGTGGGGGGGGAGTGTCAGGGGCTCTGCACCCCTGAAGCCCATCCTCCGGTGGGTGCCCTTCAGCCCATGATTACAGCAAACTAATCCGGCGGTGAGAGTGTTAATAAACTTCAGGCTGTAACGAAGAGGGGAGGTCTCGGCCGGCGTCCCTGAGGACCCCGGCATCAACGTGTTTCGGGGGGGCGGATTTCCCGGGAGGGCTTTGACCCGTCACCGTAATATTTGGCTCTAGACAGTTTCCTCCTTGCTTGGCTGAAAAGGGGGATAGATCAGCTTGGCGGGGGAGTGGGGAAACTGAGGCACGGCTCTGTTCTCAAGCACCGAACAGGATCTGGCCAGGATCCCTCCCATTGCTCCCTGGGGACCACCGGGTAGACGATGGCCTCCATCCGTGGTGAGGATGGTTGGGTTAAGGCTTCCTTCTGTGGTTGCAGAGCGGCTTTGCGGCATTCGTGTCCCCACCAGGAGCAGAAGGGGGAACAGGCTGTGTCCCACGTGGCCAGGGGACACAGGCTCATCCCACGAGGAGGTGGGGGACGTGGGGGTATGGCGGCTCCAGCAACCCTCATCGCGGCAGCAGGTCAGGGGAACCTGGTCCCAACATGCTGTGGTGGCCGGGTGGGACATCTCTGCACCCAGGGCTGTTGATAGCATCACTGCACCCAGGGCTGTTGGGGTGTCCAAGCACCCAGGACCTTTGGAGGGTCCTTGTCCACAGGGGCTTTGGGGTATCCACGCACCTACAGCATTCGGGGTGTCCCTGCACCCACGGCCTTTGGGGTGTCTCCATTAATGGGACACTTTGAGTGTCTCTGTGCCCAGGTTCATTGGAACATCTCCAGACCCGGGGCCTTTGGGGCATCTCTATACCCATGGCCTTGGGGGTGTCCAAGCCTCCAGGGACTTTGGGGTGTCTGACACCCGAAGCTTGGGGTGTCCAAGCACCCCGGGCCTTTGGACAGTCTCCATGAGCAGGACCATTGCAGTGTCTCCATACCCAGCATCTTGGAGGATCTCCTTTCCTAGGGCCAGCGGAGGGTCTCCGCACCCAAAACATTTGGGGTGTCTCACACCCAGGGCCTTTGGAGCATCTCCACAGCCAAAACTTTTGGGGTGTCCCACATCCAGGGTCTCTGGAGAGTCTACGCGTGCAGAACTTTTGGGATATCTGTGCACCCAGGGCACTTGGAGCATCTCTGCACCCAAAACTTTTGGGGTATCTCTGCACCCAGTGTCTCTGGAGCACCTCCACACGCAAAACTTTTGGGGTATTTCTGAACCCAGGGCCCTTGGAGCATTTCTACACCCAAAACCTTTGGGGTGTCTCACACCCAGAGTCTCCGGAGCGTACCCACACACAAAACTTTCGGGGTATCTCTGCCCCCAGGGTCTCGGGAGCATCTCTGCACCCAAAACTTTTCAGGTATCTCTGCACCTTTGGAGCACCTCCACATGCAAAACTTTTGGGGTGTCTCTGCCCCCAAGGCCCTTGCAGCATCTCGCACCCAAAACTTTTGGGGTGTCTCTGCACTCAGAGCCGTTGGAGCATCTCTGCACCCAAAACTTTTGGGGTGTCTCTGCACTCAGAGCCGTTGGAGCATCTCTGCACCGAAAACTTTTGGGGTGTCTCTGCACTCAGAGCCGTTGGAGCATCTCTGCACCCAAAACTTTTGGGGTGTCTCACACCCTGGGCTCTGGAGCACCTCGCCCCCAGGCTGAGCTGCAGGGGCGTCCCCCCAGTTGCTGCGCGCAAGAGGGGTCTCCGAGCCCCGCAACTGAGAAGACCCCGACCCATCTGCTTCCCAAGACTGGCAGACCATCCCACACCACCACCTCCCCGTGCC